GTTAGTAAGGATTATATTAGGTAAGCAGCGTGAAAGAAACTTTACCTACAACATTGAAGGTAGTAGGTACATTAGCGCGCCGGAGTGGCAGCCGGAAATGGTCCTAGGGATCATTGTAATATCTCGATATGCTTTTACCAGAACATCGTCACTTAAACATGTTTTGTGGGGTTGCATATTGAATTTATAATGATATTGAAAGCTGAAATCCAATCAAATCTTGAAATCATTTCAAGATATAGGGTATATGTGCAAAAGGTCTTTCCACATATGCGATATTTTTTATTGAAAATATCAACTTTTTTTTTTTACTTGAACATATCAACACTTGTCACGATTCGAACCAAAGACCTTAAGATGTTTACAGCTACAATTTACTAATACTGGCTTACTAGCTACACTACGAGAATTACGAAATTACTGAAGCTGTTGCCGTTGTTTCAGTATATAAGAGTTGTACGGGAAGGTGCAGGTGTAATCACAGGTGCAATAGGTGTAATCAAACCTACCCGTGGACCTACCCGTGGATAGCTCAAATGAGCAGGCTAAGAATTCGCACTCAAACGCTAATAGCTAATAGATCAGTAGCTAATAGGTCAATAGCTAATCAGTCAATAGCTACCTATCAATCGGTCGAAATCATTTCAAGGCTGTAATCATTTGGAATTATATTAAATTAAAAAGCCATATCAGGAAGGATACCGTCTTAGAAACTGAAGCTATTCCCAATATGCAATAATCCTAAGGATCATATCCACTTTTGGTAATAATCTCACAATGATATTCAATTATAGAAATGGGCTTATGCAGATACAGGATCCCTGGGACGGTGTCGGGGCGCCATAGCGGCGCGCTAATGTAGTTACTGCAAGCCTACACTGGCACGTGTCCTCAGGCTGTTCTAGAACCCACTAATGGTGAAGAGTACAAATAACTTTATCGCTTTTCCAGCGATGTGACTCGAGCTTTTCGTTAGCGGAACATGTAACTTGGGTTCGTCTAAATTTCAATCTTTAATGACAACATAGCAACGCATTTCGCATCTAACATCTGATGATCACGCTCCAAGTTTCAATTCGCATTCTTTGTTGGCTTTAGGTTGAAACTTAGAAGGGTTATAGAACATATTGAATTCAATTGCTTACCGTCTTTCTCTGCTGGTTCGAGAACGGTGGGAAGCTCGCCAGTTAAATCATCGCTTCACAATTCGTGTCTTCATACACATGCATTCTTCTGCATTCTCCTGCCGGTGATGCCCTTGCTAGGCATGGGCAGTTGGACGTTAGCCACCTCCCACAAATCAACAAATCATGGGACTTTTACCAGGTTGATCGTTCTATTCGCGCTGTTGGTGTCATGGCTGGGTGTAGTAGATGCGATGCGCCCAAGTCGCATCGCCGAATTGAGGCAGGAGACGGTCGACATGTTCTACCACGGGTTCGATAACTACATGAAGATTGCGTTCCCCGAAGATGAGGTATGGTTTGACAATATATAACCCATAATGGCTTATCTGCCAAAGTAGAAATGTGCATTAGCTCATAATTTATAGTTACGGCCCGTGTCCTGTACGCCGTTGACTCGAGATCCCCTCAATCCAAGAAACATTGCACTTAATGACGTCCTCGGGAACTATTCCTTGACCCTCATCGATAGCCTCTCGACTCTCGCGATCCTTGCGTCCGCGCCTCCTGATAGTGAAAATACCGGACCCAAAGCCTTGGGCGATTTCCAAGATGGTGTTGCTGCGTTGGTTGCACAGTACGGTGATGGACGGCCCGGCCCAACTGGACAAGGCGCCCGTGGTCGCGGGTTTGATGTTGATAGCAAGGTTCAGGTTTTCGAGACCGTAATAAGGGGTGTTGGTGGGCTGCTCAGTGCCCATCTCTTTGCTGTTGGAGAGTTGCCAATATCTGGTTATAACCCACGGAGGCCGACTGATGGTGATTTCGATGTTGAGCAAAATCCCATTCCTTGGCCGAACGGGTTCAAGTATGACGGACAGCTGCTACGGCTTGCGCTCGACCTAGCTCAACGGTTGCTCCCAGCCTTCTATACCCAGACTGGATTGCCCTATCCACGTGTCAATCTCCGTCACGGAATACCGTTTTACGTGAACTCGCCTCTTCATGGGAACACCAACCTGGATCCGAAACCGGCCGAAGATTCCCCAGAAATTACAGAAACATGTAGTGCTGGGGCAGGGAGTTTAGTGCTTGAGTTCACCGTGCTCAGCCGCCTCACCGGAGACCCGAGGTTTGAGCAAGCAGCTAAGAGGGCTTTTTGGGCTGTCTGGTCAAGAAGAAGCAACATCGGCCTTATTGGGGCCGGTGTGGATGCCGAAGAAGGGCACTGGATCGGAGGATTCTCTGGAATCGGTGCGGGAATTGACAGTTTTTTCGAATATGCTCTCAAAACCCATATTCTATTGTCAGGCCAGGAGCTACCCAACCGGACGATGCCTCAAGTACATCATGATGGGAATTGGCTTGATCCCAACCAGATCTACCATCCACTTTCCGATGAGGACAATTCTCCCGATTCTTTTCTGCAGGCCTGGCATCACGCCCACGCAGCCATCAAGCGCCATCTCTACTCCGGTTTACATCATCCGCACTATGTGAATGCGCACATGTCTACCGGCTCACCGCAAGCGTACTGGATCGACAGTCTAGGCGCATACTATTCCGGCCTCCTGGCGCTAGCTGGAGAACTCGACGAGGCCATTGAGACGCATCTGGTCTATACAGCTCTCTGGACCCGGTACTCTGCACTCCCAGAGCGGTGGTCCGTCCGCGACGGTAATGTCGAAGGTGGTCTTGGATGGTGGCCTGGGCGGCCTGAATTCATTGAATCCACCTACCACCTGTATCGTGCTACTCGGGACCCTTGGTATCTTTACGCAGGTGAGATGGTTCTGAAAGATATCTATAGGCGATGCTGGACAAAGTGCGGTTGGTCCGGCTTGCAAGATGTACGCACCGGGGAGAAGAGTGATCGAATGGAGAGTTTCTTCCTAGGAGAAACCGCCAAGTATCTGTATCTCCTCTTCGACCCAGATCACCCTTTAAACAAACTTGATGCTTCGTATGTCTTTACTACGGAAGGACATCCATTGATTATCCCTCGAAAGAGGCCCCATCGCCCGGTGCGCAAGCAGACATCAGAAACAGCTGTTCGACCTTACTTTGATGCTCATTTCACTACTACGTGTCCTCGCCCGCCTGATTTACCCCCATTATCTGGCTCTGCTACTGCTGCGAGACCAGATCTTTATAACGCGGCAACTCTGATTCGGCTCCATCAAATTCCGAACATACATGGCAGCTCGGAAGATACAATTGCGAAGTTAAGTCGATCTGATGCGCGGACAATGCAATCAGAGAAGCCAAGAGAGAATTATACATATTTCCCTTGGACATTACCCCGTTCTATGCTCCCAGCCGACGGCATCTGCGCTGTGACAAAACAGGCTCAGACTTCGGTGATTGAATTCCCTTCCAATACTCAGCAGTCTATGGGCAGTGCTTTCAACCTCATGTTCGGTGGTCATAACTTGGTTCGGATGGGAAGCGAGGGCATTGTGATTAATAGTCTCTCTGGCCTGAAGCTAGCTCTAATCATGGAAGAACCCCCCGAAACAGCTGAACGGGCTTGGAGGATCTACAGCATTGGGAACATACTATTGGGCCGGGATGAGAAGGTTTTCATCACGCGTGATGTCCTTGAGGACATGTCGGACCCATTATTCCATCGTGTTCGCGACTCCGTGCTCGTCGACCTGCTCCTGCAGATCGAGATTCCCCAAGAACCATTAGAGCATAACTCAACATCCGAACCCGAGCCCTCCACCGACAGCGGATCTACTATCGAACTCGACGTCGAGTCCGCCGTCAGCACCCAAAACTTGTTCAGCTCATTCCTTCAACAGATTACATCTGTTCTACGGGAACCAGTCGCTACTTTCGGTCCAGAACCGATACTTCCACCAAAGTACAGATTCGTAGAACTACCCGCCATCACGCCCGTCGGAGTAGGTGCTGCCTCCTTACCCGACGTCCGCGAAGCGCCTAACCCGCACACGAGTGCCATCATCGACTCGCTGTCGTGGCAGCGCATCTTCTTCGCGGGCCAGGCCTGTGAGGGTAAGCTACCCGACGCTGCGCCACGATCGCATCAGGTGATCGTGATGCGCCGTGGCGGGTGCTCGTTCTCCGAGAAATTAGCGAATATCCCGTCGTTTGCGCCGGGCCGGAATGCGCTGCAGCTCGTTGTCGTGGTTTCGGACGATAAGGACGCCCTAGATCACGACGAGGAGGAAGGAGAAGGGAAGGAGGATATATATGGGTTTAATTTCATTAGGCCGCTGCTTGACGAGCCGCAGAAGACGCCCGCGGGCATACTTAGACATCGTCCCATCGCCATGTTGATGACGGGCGGAGGGAAGGAGGCGTATGAGTTGTTAAGAACGACGAAAAGTTTAGGGTTGAGGAGGAGATACCATGTTGAGAGCCAGGGGTTGAAGATAAGTAATTTGATCGTGCTGTGAGAGATACCTGTGGGTACCTAGGTGGAGAGTGATAGATACAGGTATATACGTGCGATGATACGACGAGCGGTATAAGTCACTTTGGTTTAGTTGCTTTTAAGAGGGCGACAGTGTATATAAAGGCCCTGATGTAGATAGTCGGTGTAAAAATTTGGAAGAGATTGGATAGAAGAATTGACGGTGATTCCATCACCTTACGTATCGGACGCCTTGGTCACCCGCTCTACATCGCTCACGTTTTGACCGTAAAGGGAGTGAAGATGAATTCGGGTGTCGTGTTTGAACCCGACCCTTCCTATATGATCAAAAAAAAGCCAGACCAAGATTTATAGTTCTTGCCTACCTGGTACTTAGGCAGCCATCTGCCGGTGGAGGATATGCTTGAAGCATCAATTGAAGGAGAAAAAAGAAACAAAAATTGTGGTACAAGAGGAATCTAACCTCTTAATGCTGGACTCGCGGGGAATCGAACCCCGGACCACTCCCAAGTTAGACAGACAACTTCAACCAACCATCGTGAGGTGGATCGTCGCTATCATGCTAAGGGAGTATTATACCACTAAACCACAAGCCCGTGTTGATCTCGGTGGATTCCTGATCAATGTGATTGGTTGAAAAACCCTTGTTTTTGTTGAATTATATGCTTATTGTGGGATGAGGAGGCGAATCAGCCCTAATCAGCCAAGTGGAGTTCGCCGAAGGGTCCGTGTTCTGGTCTAAGTGATCGTGTCTCAGCTATCTATAATACCTCGTTGGCTGGTCTCGCCGCTCTCTGAAGATAAGCATATCATTTGACATGGCATTCATGAAGTAAGGTGTTCTCAACAAGCCAAACTAGTAGAGTCAAGAGGATCATGATGTATCCCTAGATGGGAAAACGTATAATTATGAGACCTAACCTCATGAATCGTTAGGATTTCCTCATTTATCTCCCACAGTCGCCCTCGCCCGACACAACGCGCTAAGAGGATCATTCACCAAAGGAGTACATAATAATAATATCAACTGCATACTAAATATCACTGACAAGGCACTCATGGCTAGGTGGCATCCTAAAGTAGAAGAGCACTTACCAAGAGCCTTGTGCCACGCCATCTATCTACTACATAGGGCTGATTTAGTCTCAGTGCCTGAGCCGCCTAAGAGGAAGATTGCCGCCGATCTCTTCGAAATGGGAGTTTCATGTAAATAGATCTTCGCTCGATCCTCCTCGAGGTTTTAACCAACAGATACATATATCTGTATCTGAGACACCAACAAGATCCATGAGCAAAGTAAGGGAGAGCAAGCGACAGCCCAACGATGACTTCATGATACTACGTGAACGAGCTAACTCTATCAGAAGGTATCGAACGATGTGCCGGCGGTGTTGATTTTATATCGGAGAAGACTCTTATGTTCACGACCTAGGAACAATCGAGATAATCTAAGCGACGATACGAGCAAAAGTACCTACCTAACCGTGCCGCTTTTACAAGCAAGCCGGCTTGCCAAATATTTCAATTGGAGGCTGGGAATGTCCATATGAGCTAGGGTAAAATTGCGACATCTTGTTGACTATCTACCAAGAAGCATTTAGAACCATATCTGACGTCTGACCTGAGTCAAATACCCATGCTTAGACCGCTCCGCTAAGATAATATCGCAATTAGTTGGAATAGCCGGTGAGCCCCATCCAATAACCGTAAAATCGCCGACAAGGTATCAAGAATCAATAGTGAGATTGTCATATCAAATGGAAATTCAAGCGCAATCACACGTGGTGCCAGACGGTTCACTTCTTCAAAAAAGATATCTTCGGCTTGACACTCTAGAGCTTCTAGTCCGTAATACGGCTCGACTCATATGTCGACGATAAAAGATATGTAGCTAGCTGCGATTTTAAGGCGTGATATAAGTTGTAGCTTGCATTATCAGACAGCCGCATCTGTTGTCAATGTGTCAATGCAGATACGAGAAAACGTCCCACGCTATATTGGCTTGGGCTCGGCCGAATTGGCATGGCATCCACCACAAGTTGCCCGGGCGACATCTTACCACTCTAGTGTTCTACCAAAGCTCACGATTCTCGTAATCGCTAGATAGCGTCGAAAGAATTCTAGATCAGGTAATTTGAATTAGGAGGAATTCAGCCTCATAGTCGTATTGATGAGCTACTAAATTATAACTCAGTGACAAATTTCCAACTCAGTTGGGGGTATTCTTCTGGAAAAAAACAGTATGTAACGTCGTCTTGGTCGATAAACCATATCGATGTAACGCCATGAGCTCCGCCGTATGCAATGCAGATATTCCTGCGCTCATCCAATCGGCCAGATGCAAGTCTTGATTGGACGCCGATAAGTCTCACCAGATTTTTGGGCACAGATGCCCCACACCGAACGCCAGTTGCCCATCGTAATATGCTAGAACTATTATGTATGTAGAAAAACGCCGATATCATGCTGAATGTTGTGATCTTGATGATAATGAGTGATCTCTAGTGGAGAAGCACTTCTCTCGTATCATCACCGCTTTGTGTTGTACATGACTGCTGAGCTCTGGCTTTCCTGCGCCCGTGCCATAGCGATAACGACTGTGTTCTTGCAGACTCCGTAACTGCAGCACTCTTCGGCCGGCATCGCTCCGTTGAGAATCAAATCTCGTTTAGACTAGGTAGTTAAGCGTCAGTAAATATTCAGTCCTCATGATTATTTTAGTGTACTAGGTAGGTAGACATACGTCTGGGCAACGGATGGGAGACGCCTGAACTAGAGAGCCTAATAATGAGAAAATTGTAACGAGTGGTAATACTAAGTTGAATTGCATCGTCGGTAGTTCCCTTAAATTGTGTCCAGAGATATCCAAACGAAAGTGGGAGAGAAATTGGAATATGGCGAGTTGGTTTTATTTAACGATTGAGTTGGAAGGATCAATGTAACTTTCGTAGTTAATATAATCCTTCTTGATTACCTTCTAATAAGAGATGTAACGAATAGACGCCAACCCGCATAAGTTATAAGAGAGGAGGATCAAATAAACCACCTGGCTACAAGAAATGAGGAGCGGTCTTTTATCATATAAGAAATCAACGGATGGATACCGCTAAGACGAGAGTGGTGTCAGAAATCGGAGGTACAATACACATGTATGCTGCAGCTCGTTTGCCCTACCCACGCCACAGGATAGTCAATCCTTGTGAGCTGAATGATCGAGCGCCTCCTAGAGATAAGGAGTAGAATGCGGCTATTGCTACAAATGATACAACCAGGCGTGATGGGGCTGAAAAGTTGGTAATCCAAGGGCTTGAGGCTGTGATTTCATTACTAGGGTACCATGACGAAGAGTGACTGAGATCTCGCAAGATGACTACCGCTCGTGGTGGCCAACCCTGTCAGACAGTCATAGTCATAGTCAAGGCCGCTGATAAAATCGTCATTCATGTTCCAATAGCAGCGAGTACAAAGCCAAAGGGCATAAAAAAGCGAGTGGCTGTGATTGGCATCTCGTGAAAATCTAGCCGGAGACCTTGCCAAGCCCACCAAAAGCGATCGGTGCGTTTTGTTAGCGAAGAAATAAGAACTCGGCAATCCGTAATAAGATACGAGAGACTGGTGATAAGGTAATTAGCTAATTAGGGAATAGCCTTTTTCGTACCGGCCCTACCGATTCTCGTGAGAAAGTAGGGCAGACGGTGTCAATTGAACTGAATAGCCCTGCTGATGCTAGAATGTTTCGAGAAGACAAAAAATAGAAACAAGCGGAAGCCTAACCTAATTCAGCTTATCCCTGATGAGCACCTGCGCCTCGGAACAATCGGTCCGGAAAAGCTTGAAACCGGTCATTACGAGCCCGTAATCCGGTCCAATGCAATTTCGTATGATTTTTGCTTTGTAGATAAGTACGTGCCAGCTTATATAATACGAGATACGAATCTCAAATATGATTGATGTCCGAGCCTGAGCTTTGTCTCCTCTCCTCGACTTTATGAAACCTCGAGCTGCGCCTTCGCATCACTTGCCGAAGTAAGGTCTCAAATGGGACGTTACAAACCGATCGCATAGAAGGCTCCCTTTCTCAGTCCCTAGGTAGCTGTTAACCAGAACCGCAAACCAACACAATCTTCACGCTCGTCCCTATTGCTAACTTAGGGATTTCCATTTTCGGATCCCGCCTCCTAGAGAATGAGTAAGGGCGATCTATAAGTACCTAGGTATACATACATATAAGAAACAGAAATTTTACTAGGTCCCTCTTGCCAGAACTTACTTATGTACCTATACTGGTTTCCACTGAATCTGTGGTTGAGACTTTCTTAAGACTTACAGTTGCCGTACGTCATGTCAGTAAGTTGGACAGATCCAATCTCAACAATGGACGGCCCAAATCTTTTAAGTTTAAAGGCAAGTTGGGAGGTGTAGGTCAACAATGGCGAGCAGACACTTTCTCAACTTCTTCACAAAGTTCAGAGAAAGAGGGAGTTATGTCCCCACTAATGGTGCCTTTGGTTGATATCAGCCTGGTTCTTCCTCTATTCTAGCCACTTACATATCATTCAAATTACGGCTTGCTTCTCATATTCTGCTTGATTTACTACCAATAGGATTTGAAGCATCATTCTTGTGATAGGATACGGCCAATTCAGTTCGATAATCAATAATGTCGGATCGAAAAGACAAATTGGAATTCTTGCGGGATCCCAATGTGCCCAAACCCTCACCTTTCCCTCGTCCTCGTCCTCGTCTACTCCGCACAAAGACCGTGCCTCCTCCAAACTGCTGGCCTATACCAAAGCTAGGTTATGTCGAAGGATGGCTTCCGTCCTTGAAGATTAAACTCCCGCATAGCTTCCGTTATTTGACAGAAGGTTTTCTGAATTGTCCACCAGTGAAGGCAGCGCCGCGTTGGCTCCCAAGACCTGGTTACGGCCGCGAGGAGACAGAGTTGAGTTTCTGCGATGTGAATATCCTAACTCCATATTCATTTCTCGTCATTAACTGACTGCCGCAGACCAGAAGCCTCGATGACAAGTTCCCCTTTCCGTTGAAGAATTATACCTCTTGGGACCTATCGTCCGTCCCAGATGACGTATTAGCTCAAGTTATTACGGATTGGCGCCGAACTCCAGTTATCTCCTTCCGACCTGATACTCGGAATGTTGTATCACGCATTTCTCCTGACTTGGTGGCCAAGTGGGGACCGGATGTTTGCCCAGCAGAGGCAGATATCATGTGGCTTTCTGGTGGAAAACCGACGGGCATGAGACACCATATTCCCCCTGTGCACAGAATCATCAAAGATCCAGTCACAAAATATTTCATTATCATCATGGACTACATCTGGGGTGGCTACAACTTGGTCGATATCTGGCATCGCAGATCGACGGAACACCAAGGTAGAATTGCTGCGAGTGTCGCCGGCCTTGTCAAATACATGCAAGATTACACCGCTCGGTTCCCTGGCCCGGCAGGATTCAGTCGCTGTCGAACATTGGTGCACAAGAAGTATCCTGTTCCACTCGGCATGACTCCAGAAAAATATGATGAATACATGAACCTTCTAGTCAATGAGGTCAACGCCTGCCGACCCGAGAAA